TTTCACCAATAGTGGTGGTGATCGATGAGGCTGTGTTTGTTATAAATTTGTGGTTGTATTTGCCCAACTTCTTCTGCAACTACGTGTATTTACAGAATGTGTAACAGCTGGCTATATTATAATATCTCCCACCCATCATATATTATCTCAGGTATTACACACAAACATAATGAGTCAGAAACACAGGAGTTGATTGTAATGCATCCAACTCACACAAGCCTGCATGCTACCAGCTGACTCATGCCTGATAGTCTATGCAAATAATACTTTAATTGACTTTTTTTACACCTTTGCATAACGATTTCAAACTGCATCCACAATGAACAGGATTCTATTACCATTTTATTACCAGCATTTGTTTCAAAATATGCATTATGTATAAGTATCCATCAGTATTGTAATGCATTTCATCAATACACTCTTAGATTTATAGAAAATTTCAAAGTTGTATATGAAGAAAAAAAAGTGGTCTGAGCTGTATAGACTATCAGTGTACTTTGCTCTTCCCTAGACTGTTTCCAAATTTAGAATATGTTGTAATCCATGCTGGGGATTCGCTCATGCTCCATCATGCATAATCATGAGTGTGATTGGACATGAATATTCATGAATGATGAATGCCACATGAATGTTGTAGCCAACAAGTGATAGCATTCTGATGTCCTGCGTTCCAGTTGTTTCTGAATAATTTTAAAAGACTTCTTTCAGCTTGTACTGTACTGAAGTTGTAGTGTTGTGAGAAGTTTTGGTTAATTCATTGCCAAGTAGCTAATTCTTACCATTTGCATTTTTATTTACAGTTTTCTGTTTTATCTCATTTTGGAAGAGAAAGAGTGCAATATCTAACATTCTTGAATACTGAAATAGACTACATGTACAACATTGCATGCGATAGAATACCGAAGTGCTCATGTCACATTCGCTGTAGGTACATGTAATGCTTTACAGAGTACGTCATTAGTCTATACGTCATCCTCCAATGATTGCACTCATTTCAGCCTTATTCATCTATAATCTGCAAATATTGATATAGACTTCAAAGTTAAAATTGACTAAAACTTGATACTTGAAACTGATATTCTATTGAAGATTACTGGTAGGCCTAACTATGGTAGGCCTTAACTCCCTTTTTGTTGTTGTTATCAAGTCAGTGTGGGAAACAGTTGGAAGAGTTGATGAAGTTTATTCATAATTTGATGCCATTTTGATAGAGCTTTGAATTTGAAGGTGCTGTAGATCAGTCATACTATTACAGTATAAGATGATAATTGTGTTTTTGGTTTGTTTTTTGTTGCTAATATCTGTGGAACACTTACGGTCCTGTAATAATTGGAAAAGTATCTACGTTTATAATTTAATACATACATACATGTATACATGTAAGAGTACATCTAGGGAATGTTGGGCCAAAGCTCATACCACATACTGTATTTTTCATGTTTCCATTATTTGGCTTAGCAATGTTCAAAGATGCAATATTGTAGAGCATTCATCTCCAAATAATATGGTGGGTTTACAGTTAAACAGTGCCCTTATTGGCAAGCGATGACAAGCCAATTTTTCTAGCATCGGGGGCAGGGTTTAGGGCACATTTTACATAGAATAAGACAATAAGTACATTAAATCTCCTTTGATATAACACTGATTGGAAAATTCACCCCTGACCAAAAGTGGCCGAAATATCCAAAACACTTAAAGACAGCAAATTCTTTTTCCTCGGACAAGCTATTGAAATCTTTCCTATGAAAATTTAGATTAAATCCCCGTATCTCCAAGGGTACATACATGTAACAATGCCACAGTTGATATTTTTGTACATTTTCCCCATAATGCATCACATGAAATCGACTGAACACTGGTGTCGCTCGCTAGATGGCGTTGTGAATCGTGCATCTACGTACTGATACATTCACGATACTTCACTGCAGTGATTGCACATTCACTCTCCTGGAGGTCTGAAGGCAATATCCTAGTAAAGAAGTAAAAAGGAATAAAACAAAACCACTCCGTCCCACATGAAAAAAATTTGGAAGCTTTCCAAATAATAAGTGGTGAAAAAAACAGAATGGGCGTCAGTCAGCCTCCACGAAGCATATTCATTGAATTGCTTTCAATCAAAGGGATTTACATACTGTATGTACTAGTACAACAAGGTCGACTTGATGCTGGTGGAGTTACCTCCGTTCAGACTTTAGACTACCCGTATTTATTGTATGTCTAATTGTCTACACGAAAACTGTATGGCCATACGATAAGTAATCATCTTTTTTTTTCTAGACTGTAATAAATGTATGAGAAAATGTCATTCATAAGCCAAATGTATGTCTTGAAGCCCCAATGCACTAGTTTGGCCAGGAGGGATTAGACCTCCCTGCATGGTCACTGACAGTCATGTAATGTACATGTATCTCATCAAATATTAAAAGCTCTAAATTAAAATAAGAAATGGGGGACCAATGGCCATGGATTAGGCATTGTTTGCTATATAGAGGGCGCAAGTAGATAGTGCAGTGGGGCTTGAAGTAAGCTAGTTTGAAGATCGTTTCAAATGAATCAGGGTCCCTTGATAGCCTGAACCTTGTATCATGTGAGACCTTTATAACTGGACTGGGCTTATCATGAGCGCCCTCTGGTGGTTGGCCACTTGTCGTGTCAACTGACCTCTTCAAAACTAGTTTCTTTATACTACACTCACACCTGCTTTAGTGACCACCTGTCTACAATGACAGCCTGTCTACAAGGACCACAGTTTTTGTTTCCCTTCAATATGGTCTCTCATTGAATCATGTACTATTAAAAGGAACCTGTCTAAAAGACCACCTACATGTATCTACAAAGGCCACTTTTTGTGTTCCCCTTGGGCGGTCGCTATAGACAGGTTTGACTGTACTACTACTTTCTATGAATTGTCTTGTAATGTTGTTATCCAGTGTGTAAATGTGTTGTACACCCCTTTTACTATACTGTGATTTTCTCTACAACATTTCTTGGTCAACAGAAGTTTCATACGAGTTTTCTGTAGTCTGAACTGATCCTTAGTTCAGTGAGGTTGGCACAATGTTGGCGTGGGGGAGCTCGTGCACTCTCGCCAGGGAGGGATATAATTGAGAGAATGGCGCTCGCATGGTACAAAGTTAATTTGTTGATTACTCATGTAGAGGGTGGGTGTACTAGGGGATGGTTTGTGCTACGTGTTCATCAGGGATTAGGAGATGGAGGCTCATTTGCTATTGATGAAGTCATTGCTCTTTCAGCAACAGATAGCCATGTACTGTACATGTACTTTTCACAACCCAGCATACATGGATGATGGATCCATATCAATCTATTTTGACTTCAAAATTCATTAAAGCTATTCTGTTATTTTAACAGAATATAATGCTATGATTTAAGATGAATGAATTGATTTGAAATGGAAGATTTTCTTTCTTTCCTCCTTTTGTTTACTCCATTAAGGCTTGTTACTTTTATTTTTGATATTATCATCTTCATGTGCCTGGGAGTTTCGGACTAAGATAAGTTGCTAATAAGTCTTTATTCATCAGCCATTATATGTAATTGAAAAATAATATTGACTTGTTGCACATCTGATTTTAGTTTACTAAAACCTTGAAAACATTGTTGTGTATATTTTCTACTCTGAATCAAATCAAATTGTCGAGGGGCTGAACTATCCCTTTAAATTACTTGCATGGAAACAGATTATATTGTATGATTAGAATCAATGCAAATTCTATCATAAGTCAATCATTTAAATATGACAAGAGTATTTTGAAGTGCTAAGAGGCCTGAAGAAGAGACTAATTACCCCACTGCATGTAGGCAGGGCAGACAGCCAATCATTCATGCATACTAATAAGACAGCAGTGGCTTTACCTTGGCTTGATTAACAGTCATTGTGAGGGACCATCACAACACTACACTATGAGGTAATGAGTAATCTTATCATGTAGTACCGCCTAGGAGAGTAGACATTGGTGCTTTCTGGTGACCTGGCATGATCTATAAATAGTTTCACTGCAGTAGTCTTGTGTGTGCTGACATGTTGGGCATTAGGGTTCTGTGTTGGAGCATGGATGCAATATTACACATATTCTTTTTTTGCTGATTGAATAACAAACAGACGTTAAAAAAGGGGGAAATAAGCTTTTTGAAAAATTATTGACCTCCCCCTTACTTTGGCATAAATAAAATGAGTTTGAACACGGAATGTGCACAATGTTGGAAAGTCTCAATCAGACTTGAAATTCATTGCTGAAGATAGAGAAGAGGATATTTTTGTTGTAAAATGTTAATGTCTTTGATCGATTGACATTTGAAAAGAAGGAGGTAGCCCCTATATTCAAATTGCTGTAGAGGTAGTATATAAAGATAGAATTGTCAAAAGAAAACAGAAGTAGGCTGATTTCTCTTGAAAATGCTTGTCAATTGATCTCATCTTTCCTGCTCTTAGCAGAATTCCAGTCTGTGATTTGTTTCACCGACAGGTGCATCTCTTCAAATTTTGAGTGAAAAATTTGAAAATTGTATCGTGCTCTATTAGTAAAGGGAATTATGATAGTTTCAAAGGAAAATAAGCGCATCTGAAATCAGTTGCTTTAAACTTACGTTATCTTTTTTTTTTAATACAAAAAAGGGCATTCTTGTTACTTTCTCTCAGTTATCAAGCCATTGATTTGAAGTTGCGACATGCAATTCAATATTCAATTCAATTCAATTTCGGTTTATTGATATCAAAGTATACAATGTACAATGCAGTAGTGCAAAGACCAATCATGCAATGTTACATTAAATGTGTATAAAACAGGAATGACCATAGGCCTATACATGTACAATTTAAATGATAAAATAAGTTATTATAATTGTTCATACCTTAAGCTATACATATTTTGCTAAAAAATAGTAGATAGATAAATAACTGTAAAAGTAACTTGTTGAACCAATTATTATAAGGCCATATAAAAATGAACCTAAAACTGAGCATATTGTATAAGAGTCTGAACTCTGAAGACTTTTCAAAGCATGATTTGAAACTCAATGAAACATGCCAAATAGGCTGCATCTCCTTGAGGTATTAAGTTCTCAGTGCTAGAAAAACATGATGTATAAAGCAGTCTGTGCCAAGTATGAAATACTTCTCAAATCTGATGAAATTAATGAAAGTAGGGCAAAAGATTGAGGGTCTTACTTATAAAGAACTTGAGGAAGTTCTGTCTTCAAGTGGATATTGTAAGCAGTTTAGCACAGTTATAATAATCATCTTGAACATAACCACAAACTTCTTGAAACTTTGGTAAATAATGATGTAGATTCAGGCTGGAGTCCTTCAAAACATAGACTTATAACAATGAATTGATTTTGGAGGGAAATATGGCAATGCTAGACTCATTTCAATCCCCTTTATTTGGATGAAATTTATGATAATGTAAGAGGGATTAAGGTTCTTTTCAACTTTGAATGTGATAAGGATCGATTAACAAAATTAATCCCCTTTTATCCAAGTTCTTAACTGGGTCTGCTTTTCAAAGACCAAGGAAATATGATGATTAGACTTCCAACTTGGTGTGTGTATTATTCCAGAGTGAGTCAGTAGTGTGTGGCTTGCATGACCAAAAGCGAATGGGGTATCCGCGAGTGTGTATGTGTGTATTTGCTGTGCAGCTAAAATGGCAACCCCCATTGAGCATTTCCCCAGCCAATATTGCATGAATCGCACAGACAGAGCTGAGAGTCTACATTCATTCGAACCAGTACACACACCACACACACACATTCAAAGAGAGAGATAGAAAGAGGGTGGCCTGGATACTGAAATAGCATAGTGATTGCTAAGCTCCTACAGTCAGTGGAAGAATGGAGAGAGAAGTCTATGGATTGTAATGCCGACTCTATAATATAATACCGCACCATCGTCGTAGCAAAAAACTGGCGGAAAATCCGGAGAGTGGAACTATTTATGGCCGATCGACTGATCTCAGAGCGAATGGAATATAAGTTTTGACGCTTGGCACAAGTTTGAGGTATGTGTTTCGGATTGAGGATTATTACAAGGCTGAAAGTCAGATTGTCGTGATATAATAGTTTGAAGTTTTTGAATATTGTTGAATGTGATCCTAAATCCAAATCTGCGCTAGCCCTGAGTCATGATGTATGGTTGGGTAATTATGTTTTGTTTCTAAAAATATGCGTTGGTACTTTCAGTGCTTTGCCATCTCATGTATCACCAGCGTAGTGTAATATGAGAGCACCTCTTTCCTGCGCATTATTATGCTAATTGTCAATGTGTCTATTATGATATTGTTAATCGGTCAAGCGAATCAGCTGTTCTTGATAATCACATAAAGAATGCCATTTAGAGATTGGGCGAGTCTGACATCATATCTCACCAACCTGCTGTAAACTTTTGAACTCAGAGAGGGGGGGGGGGGGGGGGTGAAAATGCAAAAAGTGGTATTTTTTGTATGGATTCATAGATATGTTGTTACTGTGTCATGAAGTGGGCGTATGTGTGAAGTATGAAGACAAATTTATGCACAGGTGCAAAGGCAAAGATTGGATAGAGAAAGGGAGAGAGAGTGAGAGAAAGAAAGAGAGAGGGAGAGACTGAGAGGGTGGGAAGGGAGAGAAGGGTGGGGTGGAAATGTTGAGGGGTGGGGATGGGGGAAAGAGGCAATTTTAGTAGAATGATCAAGAAAGAAAAAATATAAAGTAACCGTACATATAGAATGGGGAAGAATCAAAAGAGGAAATATATAGAAAACAGCATATAATTAGGAAAAATAATAAAGAAAACAAATGAGGCAATAGCAGAAAGGGTTTGTGATATATGCAGGAAAAATATCCTCTGTTTTTATTAGATCTTGATACACAGTTATGAATGATCATGACACAGCAATGAAATTGGGTAATATTATTATTAACCAAAGCAGTATTCTACAAACGCCATCATGCCTTTGCAAATAATTACTTTGTAGGCCACGTCTTTCTGCAGTGAAACTTGCTTTAATGACTGACCACCTTCCTTTAAAGACCACATTTTCTGTTTTCCTTGAATATTATATTTTCAAAAACCCATGATGCAATTGACAACCAAGCCTTGTGGGCTAATGGCACTGGACAGATTTGTTTCCAACATGTGCAGTGTAGGCCTACTTGGAAATTAGTTTTTAGCCACAAAGCGGTGTTTCAAAAGTCTCTTTTTGACTCAGAATTGTTCTTTGAGTCGTTGCTATCTTTTCATTACTCTTTTTGCAACCTAATGTTTATCTTTATCTAAACTTTACCCATTTATTACTCTCAAGTAACCTCCTTTTTTAACAGTCATTTCCTTTATAAAAACCCATTGTTTTCGTATAAACTATAGGCCTTTGATGTGAAGTTACCATATATCTTTATATAGACCTTCATCATATTCATGTAGTCGTCAATTACAAGCAACCACATTCCTGCAGTGTACAATTCCCATATTCGTGAGCAGATAATAGATACATTGATGAATATGACAGTACATTGCAGTGATTGAACATATTAATTACAGTACATTACGGTGATTCTTCATATTAATTACAGTACATTACGGGATTCTTCATATTAATTACAGTACATTGCACAGTGATTGTTCATAGTAATTCCAGATTTAAGATTGCCTATACCATTGGCCTACAGGTACATGTACATGTACATCTGTTTTGTAAGTTGATTTCAAAGTCCATTTGGCAAATGGTCATTGGTAGTTGATAAAAAGGGATTAAGGCCACAACTTGCATCAAGGTACATGTACATGTACACATGCACATTTTGCATAGATCTAACAAATTAACAAACAATCTTGAGGCTATGAAGTTATTAGATGGAGTAACAAGAAATTACTAGGGGTGAACACTACATAGACTTACATTTACAAATGTACATGCATGTAGAGGACTTGGCCACCTTTGAGAGTTTTATTGTCTACACTTTGTTTTGCTTTTCTTTTGTTAATCTTTCAAAACCTTTGCTCATTGCATTTGAAGCAAGTTGGCTTTTGGGAGGTTGTCTATATCCGAAAGACCAACATTGTCACTCTGTAGTTTTTCACACTATAGCTCTTGGTACACAATGTAGCTCTAGAAAAGCTAACCTTACCATTCCCCTTACCAAGTTCATCACAAGTTCACGTTATGGCTGGGAGGGGGAGGGGGAGAGGGGGGGGGGGGGAGGGGGGGGGGAGAGAAAAAAAATGCATGGGAGCAGGAAAGCTCAAAAAGTGCTCTGCTCTGGTAAAAAAACAATTTTTTTTTTTTTTTTTACATGGGGGGGGGGGGGGGGGGGGTGGCAATTTTGTTCTCTTTGCTTGTCAGAGAGTTTTGAGACACAAAGTGCCTGTAAAGGTTGTAGAAGAACCCCCCCCCCCCCCTTTTAGACATGTACATTTCATTTACCATTCATTTGAAAGACTTTCTGGCTCTCAACAAACCATACAGCTGTGAAATGCCATTCCTCTTTAGTTGTAGGCCTATACGTAAAGTTCAAAAGTTGACTAGAGAATAGGTTTTATTCTGTATAGTGTATAGGCCTATGTGCATTATATATGACACTCTCTTGAGTGACTCACAGGTTGACTCTACTACTTGTTGTAACTGATAATAATCTGTGATTTTACAACTGGGTGTAAGAAAAACCACTGTAGTACCTTCAGTTTGATTAGTCTTGGCATTCAGGCATGATTTTAAGAAGATGATAAAGGAAGTAAGCTTTGAAGAATTGAATAAATGTAGGTCAGATTCGTTTTGAGTAGCAAACAAAAGGAAGAAAATTAAACTATTCCTGCAAGATTCACGTGAACTGTTGTATAGTTTACATGTATGTTCATTGGTTTGTTTTAAGGAAACATTTAGGCCAAGTATACGAATGATTTTTGTTTTTATATTACTTTTTATTTTTTATGTTCATGATATATTCAGTATAAATTTCCTTGAATGAAGTAAGACCAGTGTCCTTCATCTAAAAAGTTATGTCGCTGTTCTTACTGCGTTTGCACACAAAAACAACAAATTTTACAGTCACTAGATTAAAAGATAATAAAACTGTAGTCTTGAACATACAAGACTAGCCAGCTTGCAATTCAATTACATGTCTTATCAATCATCCTTTATATTTATACCAAGTCTGTGTTTGCAGACTACCCATGAACAGTTAGATTGATGATGGTGTTACATAACTTGACCAGTCAACCACCAGTGGTCATCATCCAATTGTCAGTGGTCTAATCATCATTATCTGGGAGTTAACCAAGTTTAATGGTGTGAGTCATTACCATTGTGCACATCATCAAAGATAGAGATTAGTCTCCAGAGATCAGACCCTATACAGGAAGTTCAAGGTCAATGGTACTCGATTCTATAGACCATTCACTGCAGAAATGCATTGTACACAGCAGTTGTTGGAATGGTTCGTATAGTTTAAAGAGAAGGTTGAGTTCAGGGAAGAGGTGAACAATAATTTGTGAGCGTTATCATTGTTATTTTGTAAGTGTGGAAGAACATCAGATAAAAAATGTTCCCTGAAAAGCATAGCTCTTCAAATGCCTTAATATTCTAAATATGGCATGTAACAGCATAAAAATCGTCCTGATTTTTATGCCACATGTTCATGTACACCTGTAGTCCCATATACATGTACATATTTCTGTGCACAGTGCATGTTACTCTACCAAGACTGGGCCAAATTTATTATGATTTTGATGACTCCAGAACTTTGCAGTACACACCAATACTTACATGCTACATGATCAGTCTTTTCTGATCCATTCCACACCTTTTCTTTCACAATGCAATCAGATGACCAGAACTCACCTTTATCTTTAAATTAGGAAAGTTAAAAGTCATGCCATGAACAGTCGCATGTCAATCAGGAGGCTTTCGAAATGGCACAGCGATCACGGTTTATTCATTTATTTATTTATCTATTCATTTGTAGTTTTGTTTTTACAGCGTAACATAAAGGTCAAATACAGTAAATTGTAATGAAATCGGCATAAGTTCTAAAAGAACTAGAAGTGCGAACGTGACTTATGAGTCATCGGTGGCCGGCGGGTTGACGACCGGTCAGTGCGGAATGAAAGAAATACCTCTAATTTATCGCGCTGACCCGTGAATTCAAGATGCGCCAGTGATCATTGCGATGCATTGCGGCAATTGATGCATGAACCGGAGTGAAAGAAGGAGGTTCGCTGCTCTGAGAGAGGTTCTTCAGCGCTCTGATGGAGGGGCCCTTCGTACTTGATCAGGGTTGACAAAGGGGCCCCTTCCTCCTTGACCAAGGGGGCTAAGTTAAAAGGTGCAGAGAACCTAAAAGCTAAAGTGCATCCTGAATTTTTACATCAGTTTGTGGTAGACGTAGGTGGGCCAGAGTTGTGTACATGTACAGTTGTATGTCCATTGATTTGATATAATATTGTACAAAGACAGTGAGTCTTGTTTCAAAAACTTTCAATTCATGGTACTGTTCGGGTAGATTTTCAAGAGTCTTGCAGCATCACACCTTAAGCCTTCAACTGTGTTTTGATAAATGGTAAAGAAAATTATTGCGTTCACTTTTGCTTGAATTCATTTTTACTGTCGATCTGCAATTTTGCACCATTTCATCTGCAGGGCCGAAAAGTATTTTCATTTACTGTACCGTTAGTCTGTAAGGCAGTGTATTGTGATCCTCCAACCTGGCTGTACTACTGTATGTACATGTAACCCTGTTGTGCCTCTTTTGTAGGCCATTTACATTTGCTAACATTTGATAGCCTCTTATAACCCAATTATTTAAATTCTAGAAGCAAATATTGAAATGGCCTCAAACAGACTTCACTGAATATGGTTGTGAGTCTGGTGACCATGTACATTAATAAGATTTAAGTTAACTGCATATTGTACATTTTAACTTAAAAGCAAGGCCTCTATTGGGTGGAGTCAGATTTGATTATTAAATTCCAAGATGAATATTAATTATGTCCCATTTTACTCCCATATATTTAATTTAATATTTAATA